TATATATATATATATATTGAAATAAAGTGAAGAATGAAATTAAGTTAGCTTTATGCTAAAAATATCTACCTTATGATGGGTACAATGGTCTACACCACCTCCAGCTAAAAGGTGTCTCCCAGTTGTTGCAGTGAGATTATTAGAGGTAACTGATTCTTTTAACGTACACGGAAGCATTATTATTGAAATATTTGCAGGAATGCATATTTTGCTTATTCGCTCTTGGAACACCGTCAATAGTAAGGAAATAAATCCCAAAAGCATCAATTCTGGAAAATTCAACAGCCAAAAGGTTTTAAAAAAAGAAAGAACGTAACTATGAATTGATAATCTTTGTAACGAAAATGTAAGTGTCAAACCTTCTTTTAATTTCTGCAGGGCCTCAAATAATGCATCTTGTTTCTTGTCCCGGAAGAACTGTATGCAACATGGTATCATTAAAACAATAATAATATGATACTAATTAAGTGCTTTCAATTAAAAATAAATTAATGAAGCAATACCTTTCCAAGACGATGGAGGCCGCGTTCGGCAAGAAGGGAAACAAGAACAATGACGAAACAGACGACGGCGACCACCCATGTTGGTGTATACTCCAGCTCCTGTGACTTTTCTTCCGCCATTTTTATTACTAATATAATTACTAAAGCTTAATTAACAATGCACGCATCCCCGCTTGATCTGCAAATTCCTGAACCATTCATTGTATATATAAAGGAAAAATAAAGGCAAAGCATAAGTGCGAGAGGGGGAAAAGTAAGGGTGCGCAAGCAAAGAACAAATTAATGTTTTACTTAGCGCTATACTATGTGTGTGAAAGTTTTCCAATTAAAAAAAGACTTAGTATTTGATTAATTAATTAAGTTTCTTTGAAAAATTAAAGAGAAAAGTCTCATCAGAAATATATTTTTATGTTAATTAAATATTTTGGAACGCTAGCTCTCAAATAACTTCTACTAGAAACTAAAGGTGTGTAAAACATGTGTTTGCTTTGAACCAGATCTTTCTAAGAAATTCTTGCTTCTCAAGAAAAAAGAAATTCAAAAGTAATATTCTCAGAACTTTGTTTTGCTTAAAACAAATGGCCTAAGATACTACTCCCGTCATCTCATTTTTGGAGCTTTGGGATACTATACCTTGTAAAGGCATATTATAGAAAGACTGACATCTTCGGATTGAAACATTCTCAAGATTTGGCATCACAAAATTCTTGTCGATGGGTTCCCTCATAGGTGTCAAATTTGACCCATAATTGTGTAACCCGCCCAACC